AGTGCAGTGGCGCAATCTCAGGCTCACTGCAAGCTCCACCTCTTGGGTTCACGCAATTCTCCTGCCTCAGCCTCCCTAGTAGCTGGGACTACAGGCGCTCGCCACCATGCCCAGCTAATTTTTTTTGTATTTTTAGTAGAGACGGGGGTTAGTCAGGGTGGTCTTGATCTTCTGACCTCGTGATCCACCCGTCTTGGCCTCCCAAAGTGCTGGGATTATAGGCATGAGCCACTGTGCCCGGCCCACCTGGTTCATTTTTAAGTTTTTTGGAGAGATAGGGTCTTGCTATGTTGCCAAGGCTGTTCTCAATCTCCTAGCCTCAAGCAATCCTCCCTGCCTCAGCCTTTCAAAGTGTAGGATTATAGATGTAAACTACCAGGCCCGTCTCACCTCTTCCCCCTGTAACTTTTCCATCTTGATATGACTGTGGTTGTTTTTCTTAATCTCAGATCTACACTTGCAGTGACTATGTTTCTTAATCAGAGGTGGGCATAATAATTAACTAAAAAGCTTACCCAAAAGGTAGATGCTAGGTTACATCTCTAGAGATTTCTTGTTTTATTTTTTAGAGACAGGGTCTTGCTCTGTTGCCCAAGCTGGAGTACAGTGATGTGATCATAGCTCACCACCACCTTGAACTCGACGGCTAAAGGGACTCTTCTGCCTTAGCCTCCTGAGTAGCTGGGACTATAGGCATGCACCACCACATCTGGCTAATTATTTTATTTTGTTTATTTTTGAGATGGAGTTTCGCTCTTGTCGCCCAGGCTGGAGTGCAGTGGTGCAATCTTGGCTCACTGCAACATCTGCCTCCTGGGTTCAAGCAGTTCTCCTGCCTCAGTCTCACAAGTAGCTGGGATTACAGGCGGGTTCCACTACGCCTGGCTAATTTTTATATTTTTATTAGAGATGGGGTTTCACCATGTTGGCCAGGTTGGTCTTGAACTCCTGACCTCAGGTGATCTGCCCACCTTGGCCTCCCAAAGTGTTGGGATTACAGGTGTGAGCCGCTGCGCCCAGCTGAATTTTCTTTTTCTTTTTTTTTATTTTGAGACAGAGTCTTGCTCTGTCGCCCAGGCTGGAGTGCAGTGGCGAGATCTCGGCTCATTGCAACCTCCGCCTCCCGGCTCCTGCTTCAGCCTCCCAAGTAGCTGGGATTACAGGTGCCCGCCACCATGTCCGGCTAATTTTTTTGTATTTTTAGTAGAGATGGGGTTTCACCATGTTAATGAGGGTGGTCTCGATCTCCTGACCTCGTGATCCGCCCACCTCGGCCTCCCAAAGTGCTGGGATTACAGGCTTGAGCCACCGCACCTGGCCCACAAATACATTTTTTAAATGTCTACAGGGTTTTATGTTTTTCATGTTTGAAATCCCATTGTCATCTTGGTTATTTAACCCTTTTCCCATTTGCCCCGAGAATACTTGCCGGTGGTGCTTGGGGCTGCAGCATTTACCCAGTGATAAATGCCATGAAATAGCTCTCCTTTATTATTTTCACATCACTCTAATATATCGATTTTGGATAAAAAGACATCATTCTATTTATAGCATTCTGTTTTTAGTAATGGTATTTCCATTTACAAAATATGGTAATTCTCAATCACTCTAAATGTCAAATCCTAGAAAACGTAGCATTCCTGTGTATGATGTTAACATTATTCTCAAATGGTTGTTGGCCAAAGATTCATTAGGTGAATCCAATTTTTCTGAAATAGACGATTCTGATGTTAGTTGTGTTGAGAAATAACTCCGGCCAGGCACGGTGGCTCATGTCTGTAATCCCAGCACTTTGGGTGGCTGAAGTGGGCTGATACTTGAGGTCAGGAGTTCAAGACCAGCCTGGCCAACATGGTGAACCCTTGTATCTACTAAAAATACAAAAATTAGCTGAGCGTGGTGGCGGGCACCTGTAATCCCAGCTACCTGGGAGGCTGAGGCAGGAGAATCACTTGAACCTCGGAGGTTGAGGTTGCAGTGAGCCAAGATTGTGCCACTGCACTCCAGCCTAAGTGACAGAGTGAGACTGTCTCCAAAAATAAATAAATAAATAAATAAGTCCAAGAACAGTTTTATATTTTTATTTTCACACTGAAAGTCAGATTTGCTTCAGCTTCAAAGAACATGTTTATGTAAAATTAAATGAGAGCTGGCAGCGAGCTGTACTATTTTTTTTTTTTCCTAAACGGGAAAAGGGTTAAAATAAATCTTATGAAATACTGTTTGGCTGGGTGTGGTAGCTTGCACCAATAATCCCAACACTTTGAGAGGCCAAGCAAGACCTCCATCTCTGAGGGGATCACATGACCCCAGGAGTTTGAGACCAGCCTGGGCAACATAGCAAGACCCCATCTCTACCAAAAAAAATTTTTTAAAATTGTTCATTGTGACACTTGCATGTGGTCCCAGATACTGGGGAGGCTGAGGTAGGAGGATTGTGGCAAGCCCAGGAAGTCGAGGTTGTGGTGAGCTGTGATCCGGCCACTGCACTCTAGTCTGGGTGACAGAGTAAGACCCTGTCTCCAAAAACAAGGAAAGAAAAAAAATAGGGCTAGGTGCAGTGGCTTATACCTGTAATCCCAGCACTTTGGGAGGCCGAGGTGGGTGAATCACCTGAGGTCAGGAGTTCAAGATCAGCCTGGCCAACATGGTGAAACCCCATCTCTACTAAAAAATACAAAAATTAGCAGGGTGTGGTGGCGAGTGCCTGTAATTCCAGCTACTTGGGAGGCTGAAGCAGAAGAATCACTTGAACCCGGGAGGCGGAAGTTGCAGTCAGCCAAGATCACACTACTGTACTCCAGTCTGGGTGACGAGCGAAACTGCATCTCAGAACAAAACAAAACAAAATGTCTTGTGAGTTAATCTGGTATTTGGGTGGTATGAATACTGAATATTATTTAGGATTGATCCTAAACACAATACTTTTAAGGGGGTTACTTAAACCATAGTATTTAAGTTTCTGGACTGACTAAATGAAGCTAGGCTACCCAAAACGCAGTGCTTGATATGTAATCATCAATATTAAACTCCATTGCCCAGGTTGGAATACAGTGGTGCGATCGTGGCTCACTGCACCCTTGACATTCCCTGGGCTCAGGTGATCCTCCTGCCTTAGCCTCCTGAGTAGCTAGGACCAGAGATGTGTGCCACCATGCCTGACTAATTTTTGTATTTTATTTTTAGAGATGAGGTTTTGTCATGTTGCCCAGGCTGGCCTCAAACTCCTGGGGCTCAAGCCATCTTCTCACCTGAGCCACCCGAAGTGCTGGGATTACAGGCGTGTGAGCCACCATGCTTGGCATAAGCATTTGATTTTTCGAAGACCAGAATATTCTGATTCTGAGAGAAACATGAAGGATGGTTGGAAAACACATTGTTAGTCTCACCTTAAATTTATAACCTCTGACCTAAAGTGCGTTTTTAGTTTTGATTGGCACTTATACCGCATTTCTCCAGTCAAGTTGTTTTCCCATTCTGCTGAACTGCTTAATCGTTCCTCCTTTTTTTTTCCTCCTTGAGTCAGGGTATTATTCAGCCACTCAGGCTGGAGTACAGTGGGTCCTGATCTTGGCTTGGTGCAGCCTCAAACTCCTGAGCTCAAGAGATCCTCCTGCCTCAGCCTCCCAGACTAAGTTTTTTGTGTGTGTTTTAGGGACAGGGTCTTATTATGTTGCCCAGGCAGGTCTTGAACTCCTGGCCTCCCTATGATGCTCCCTCCTCAGCCTCCCGAGTTGTTGGAATTACAGGCATGAGCCACGGCACCCAGTTGATCAACTTTTTCTTTATATTTTCTTAAACAGTCAACATCATACCCCTCATCTTGCTTTTTACCTGATGATTTTTCCTTTGTTTTATGTTCTGGATTTTTGTTTGTTCACTGAATAAACAATACGAAGAGAAATTTCTTAACACTGTGCCATATATCTGTAGCCATATATTCTCTCCTTTTGAATGCCTTTTCATGCTCTTATTCAGCAGTTCTCAAAGTTTTTTTCTTGTATACCCTTCGGTCTCAAGTACTTTTTCAGGGATAATGTAAGATCAAAACTGTTTTTGTAATAATAAGACTGCCTTTTTGACCACTGGCACTGATCGTGCAAAAGTAATGGTGGATAAACCTGCTGTTCCCTTAACATAAATCAAGTCAGTGGCAACAAACAGTACTAGCAATTCTTGTGTTCTTCACTATCACCTTCACTTAGAAAATGTCCATGATGAAGCATTACAAACTTAAGTTTATTAATTCTCAGTCCTTGACTACGTGGCTTTAAGGTAACCTGGCAAAATAGGAATTATGGATGGAGCGCTTCAGCATATCAAAAGTAGGTACAATGGTTTTTTTTATGAAAAGCCCTTGTGTGATTTTAATTAAGAGTTGATTAAGCTTTTTTCATGTAACTTTATTTACTGGCTTTTATTGGAAAGAATGTTTTATTCAAAAGTTTTATTTTTGAAAGAATGACCAACAGACAAACTTTTATTTAGACTTGATACTTAGCAGATGTTTTCTCCAAAATGAATACAGTGAGCCTGTCACTTTAAGGGAAATAACTGACAGTATCGGTTCTAGTGATAGAATGTGAGCTTTCACATGAAAAATAAAAATTTTGGATAAGTTATATATCAACTGCTGTTGTGAGACTGACAGTATCCTAATACTTTATGACTGT